CTAGATTTTGCCTTTTCAGGCTGATAAAATTAAATTAGATATAAATCAATGCCTTTTTTGTTACTTTGTACTGAAATAGTTAAAAATTGTAACATTGAAACCAACAATCAGTATTTTTCAGAGATAACTAAGGAAGATGGGCCTAGCACTAACTACCCTGTACTGTAGAAATATTGTATCCGCTGATTCCCGCCAGTCTTTGGCAAGTTTACAAAAGACTTGGCACCAGCTGTTTGAGGGACTATGATCCCGTGACAGATTAAATCTGAAGAAACAGCAGCAAAAGTCAACAGTGAAGGGCCCATTTCCATGCCTTCAGGCTTATTGGACATATAGTATAGAATCTTTTTCTCTACCTTCAGGCTTATTGGACATATAGTATAGAATCTTTTTCTCTACCTTCAGGCTTATTGGACATATAGTATAGAATCTTTTTCTCTACCTTCAGGCTTATTGGACATATAGTGCTAGTGAAGAATCTTTTTCTGTACCTTCAGGCTTATTGGACAAATAGTATAGTGCTAGTGAAGGATCTGTTTCTGTACCTTCAGGCTTATTGGACATATAGTATAGTGCTAGTGAAGGATCTGTTTCTGTACCTTCAGGCTTATTGGACATATAGTGCTAGTGAAGAATCTGTTTCTGTACCTTCAGGCTTATTGGACATATAGTATAGAATCTTTTTCTGTACCTTCAGGCTTATTGGACATATAGTATAGAATCTTTTTCTGTACCTTCAGGCTTATTGGACATATAGTATAGAATCTTTTTCTGTACCTTCAGGCTTATTGGACATATGGTGCTAGTGAAGAATCTTTTTCTGTACCTTCAGGCTTATTGGACATATAGTATAGAATCTTTTTCTGTACCTTCAGGCTTATTGGACATATAGTATAGAATCTTTTTATGTAACTTCAGGCTTGTTGGACATATAGTATAGAATCTTTTTCTCTACCTTCAGGCTTATTGGACATATAGTATGGTGCTAGTGAAGAATCTTTTTCTGTACCTTCAGGCTTATTGGACATATAGTATAGAATCTTTTTCTCTACCTTCAGGCTTATTGGACATATAGTGCTAGTGAAAAATCTTTTTCTGTACCTTCAGGCTTATTGGACATATAGTATAGAATCTGTTTCTCTACCTTCAGGCTTATTGGACATATAGTGCTAGTGAAGAATCTGTTTCTCTACCTTCAGGCTTATTGGACATATAGTATAGTCCTAGTGAAGAATCTGTTTCTCTACCGTCAAGCTTATTGCACATATAGTATAGTGCTAGTTAAGAATCTGTTTCTCTACCTTCAGGCTTATTGGACATATAGTATAGTGCTAGTGAAGAATCCTTTTCCATGCCTTTAGGCATATAGGGCTAGACCTATATATTTTATAGACCAGTGGGCACTCAGTAGATGATGTCAGCATCATGCCAGCCTCCTTTACTTCCCAGGCCTTTACCTGGCACCCACTCAAGGCTGGGTTGATCTGGGAGCCAAGGTAATTTGGTTTTTTTTAAATGACCAACTCTGTTTGGATTCAAACCCGTGACCTTCAGATCTGCAATTGGGTGATGGAGTCAACAGTATGAAGGTCATGGGTTCAAATCCGAATGATGAAGAAGAAGAATTCTTCTAAATTCATGTTTCTTATAAATTAGAATTTTAAGAGCATGCATCTTTCCTGTAGCAACATACGGATGTGAGTCGTGGACTATCTTCCAGTCCTTAAGAAAGAGAATAGGGGCTTTTGAGCTGAAATGCTATAGAAAGATTCTCAGAATATCTTGGACAAAGAAGATGAGAAACACTGACATCTTGAAAGGTCTGAACATCGAGGAAGATTGGCTAATAAACAGCATCCTGTCTCGGAAGCTGAAATATTTTGGTCATATCAAGCGCCAAGGCAGATTGGAAAAATAATAGCAGAAGACGTGGTAACAGAAAGGAGGGGCAGCAGCCGACCAACATGAAGATGGGCACAAGATATAAGTGACTCCTTGCATGTAAAAGTACGCCAGGCTGGAGAGTTGGCAAGAGATTAGTTTCTTTCAGGCAGACCATGATGAGAGCGATATTCTGCAAAGGACCTGCTACTTAATGATGATGATGATGATGATGATGATGATCTCTCTGATTCTAAATACTCTGACACCATACTTGCCCGCACCTGCCACCACTTGAAAGCCCTGTGACAAAAGACTGACATGATTCATCTGTCTCTGTGTTTTTGCTTACATTAACATTTAGCCGAGGGACTGTTATTTAAATAATTAAAGTACTATTTTAATCCCTACCACTTTTTCCTTAATGTTGTCTCTCTGGTGAGCCATACTTTCTCCTGGCAACAGTGCAGTGTTGACTGCCAGTATTAATGGACCTGTCTAAATGACTTGACATGTTGTGTGTCTTATTTTGGTTTACATGTTGTGGTTAACGAAATAGAGGAAAACATAATGCTTCTTTTTTAATGTAAGAAAATATAAAGAAATGTGTGGTGCAGATTTATTCTGACAATTTGTTGTTGGTTTAAGTTCTTGGGGGGTATTTTGTTTGTGTAGCGAGAAGCTGACATTTTTTGGGTTTGGGCCATTTTTTTCTTTTACTTTTTTCTCTCTTGTTGTTCCTGTACTTCTTCCTGTTCTTCTTCTTCTCCTGGTCCTCCTCCTTCTTCTTCTTCTTTGTCTTCTTGTTCTACTACTACTGTTACTGCTGCTTTTCTTCCTACTCTTCTTCTGCTGCTACTACTACTGCAGCCGCCGCCGCCACCGTTTTCTCTTCCTGCGTTTTCATTTTTTTCCTTTTCTTCTCCTCTTCTTTGTCCTCCTCATCCTCTGCTTCTTTTTCATCATCATCTTCTCCTCCTATTCATTCTCATTGTGCTCACTATTTCTGATGACAGACTCACTATGTTGGTTCACAGTTTTTCTGGCTCTTAAGCTCTTGAGATTTTCTAGTATAGTTGATGTTTAAAATTAGTCCCCGTTTTTGTAAATATGTTTATCTAATCATCATGATCTGGAGATGGGTATTTAGATATTTTTATTTTCAATGTCAGAAATAATTGGACTCGAAGAACATCATTCTTCATTGGTGTGACATTCACACCACTTCTTAATTATTGTTCCCATTTCATAATTATATTAATGTGAAACATCTAGAACGGTGTTCTTCAACCTTTTTACACTTAAAAAAAAATGGGAGACATTCTTTTGTTCACCGACAGACAGATCAGGCAGAAACAAAGACAAACGTAGATAAAAATGAATTTATATTGTGTTGTTTCCAGAACAGAGATTATCTTTAGTGCTCTGACTTGTTATCTTTTTGAATATCATGTTGTGAGGTCAAAATCTCTGCTCCTTGGTGTGATTCTTACACCATTGTCTGACAGCCAGAACAGCTTTTTCTTGAAATATCTGTTTATAGATATATATTAATCAAATTTTTAGGAATCGTTATGCTGTAACAATTTATTTCCGAGAAATAATGTAGATCTGTATATTTGATGTAATAAATATTTGACCTTAAACGCTCAGTTTCTTTGGTGGGGTAATTAATTAGTTGCTATTGTCACTGCTTTTTTCCCCCATCCCCCAGTCTTTTAGATATAAATAGATGTCATGAGTGTAGAGTGTGCCTTGCTTTTATGTTTTTCCTTGGATAAGCCAGTATTAAATTTGATGTCGGAGAATATTTTATTTGAAGAGTGAAGTATTTTCTGGCCATTCATTAGTTGCCATTTCCCACTGCTTTTTTGTTTTCCATTTTGTAAATATTTTGATGTCAAATTTGGCATGCTGTAACTGTTTAATTTCTTGAATAAATTTATATCTGTATATTTGATGTTTAGGTCTGAATATTTGATGTTTAGATCTGAATATTTGATATTTAGGTCTGAATATTTGATGTTTAGATCTGAATATTTAATATTTAGATCTGAATATTTGATGTAGGGAATATTTATTTTGAAAATCTCAGATATTTTTCTTGTCATTAATTAGTTGACATTCTCACTGCTTCTTCGTTCCCTAGTCTTATAAATATATGTGTCAGATTTTTAGAGTATTAGCATGCCTTGTTGTACTTTTGTTTTTCCTTAGATAAGCTAGTGTTATTTTTTTTTATTCGGGAGTATTTGTTGTTGTTGAAGTTTACAGTTTTTTTTCCTATCATTCATTAGTTGACACTCTCACTGCTTCTTTCTCTTTTTTTCCCTGACTTTTAAATGTATGTCAGATTTTTAGAATATCAGCATGCCTTATTGTAATTATTTTTTTCCTTGGATAAGGAAGTATTTAAAAAAAAATTTTTTTTGTTTATTTAGGAGTGTTTTGTTTTGATTGAAGATTACAAAGTTTTTCTTGTTAGGTGACATTCACACTACTTCTTTTTTTTTTTTTTTTAACGGTCTTATAAATATCTTGTTGTTATATTCTTAGCATATTTGGCATTCTGTAACTGTAATGTCTCGTGTCAATTTAGATCTGAATGTTTCATGTAGAAAAACTAAGTATTGTCTTGTCATTCCTTAGTTGGCATTCTGACTGCTTTTTCCCCCTCCATCTTATAAATATCTTGATGTCTTCTTCTGCTTCTTTTTCTTCGCATTCACCAGCTGTAAACTCCGGCGGAAAGTTCTGGTTGTTCGTCCACTTCTGGACTGCAGTCCTGTTCCAGAACCTGAATGTTGCGTGTGCATCCGTTTTACAGATCTGACTCTAAATGCAGACTGCTGGTTCCTTGCCTCTCACGCAGATGCACTCTGACTTTAAAGTAAGCTCCTATTTAGTCGACTCTTATGACATGCTTTTGGGTAGGCAGTGGGTCTATTCTTATTTTCCCTGCAATATATATAATATATGTTTAGAATATTGGCATGCTTTAGCTGTAATGTCTCAGATAAACTTAAGATCTGAATGTTTGATGTAGAAAATATTTTGCTTTGAAAAACTAAGTATTTTGGTGTGCCATTGATTAGTTGACCTCCCTGTTGTGTCTACAGTTACACTGTGAGCGCCAGACCCTCTTCCAACAACAATACCCCCACTTCAAGCAGTCTTCCTACTCCCTTAGAGCCCTCTGCCCAACCCTCCATTGAGGTCACAGCCCCAACTCCCACAGAGAAACGCCAGGCCAAGGCATTGTATGATTATGATGCTGCTGATAGTACAGAGTTATCTCTTCTTGCTGACGAGGTAATGGGCCTTTGTTTCACCCTTTGAGTCTTCATTTTATTTTTGTCTTTCTCTGTGTGTCTGTCTGCAGTGTCTGTCTGTACATTTTTTTTAAAATATTAATATGTACAGTCTTCTTGTACTGAGTAGTCATAATATTCTGATAATAGCTATTAATTTTTTTTTTCTTAATTTAACCATATCTATTGAAAGAACACAAAATTCATGTTCTGGAATAAGACTAAAGTCCAGAAGTAGATGACCAACCATAACTTTCTGCCGGAGTACAGCCAGTGAACAAGAAGAAGAAGAAGAAAGAATAATTGTAATCTATGAATATTAATAATAAAAAGATGTAAAGGATAAAATTAGTTGCATATTGTTTACAGACCAATCACAAAATTTGTTGACAGTTTCTGGTTTTACTGGGCAGTTTATTTTCATTAGTTTGCCATTGCTTTCTGAATGGTACAGCGCTCATATTGATGTTAGAATTAATACAAAAGTCTGCCAGATTAAGGATAAGAGAGGGAGTTACGATAGAAGTCTGGCATTGTGGGATAAAAAGATTGGCACATGGCTTGATAAATGGTACATGAGGGTGGCAGGTGTAAAGTAAGTAAAGGGCACTTTTGCTGTTAGTGGCACATTGGGCATATCATTAAGGTCACCATACAGCCTGTTTTTCCTGGGACAGTCCTGTTTTTTATTTTTAAAGACATCTCGACTGTCCCATCAGTAATCTGTACACAAAAGCGCCGTTTTGACCTATTTGATAGAAGTTTAGGAATAAGCTCGAGAAAAGAACATACACTTATATCTGTAGACATTAGATTTCATAGTTTTAGATACCGTTAGTCAGTGAAATGTGTTGATGGAGATCTTTATTGCTGCATTTGTTTTTCAATGCAGTTAAAGAGCTTATTATTATTATTAGTTCATTTATTTCTTGGCAACATTGGTTCCGATTTTAATACCATTCAATAGCAAGTAATTGATTTAACCCTTTCATCCCAGTGACCTAGAAAAAGAAAGGGGATGTTAAACTGACCTTGTGATGTCTTGTTATCAGCTCCAAATATTTGCAGGATGTCCTGTTTTCAGCTCAAGATATTATTGTCTTTTTTTATCGTCTCACTTGTACCAGATTGTAGCCTAGTGTTGTGGTTTTCTGTATTTCTCTTGCGCTTCTCAGGTGGCTTGGGCGATGGATTTGTTCATGTTTTTAGCAGGTTTTAGCTACACCATTTATCCATCGCTTTCATATTCTTCCTGTCTCGCCTTATCTCCAGTTGTTCATCTGTGAAAAATCTCATATGCAGTTTGGTCTGGCTACATTCTCATTAGATGGCTGAACCTTTTCACTCTTTGTCTGTCAATAAATATAATTCATTATACAAGATCTCACTCCACGGTCTTCTTCTTCTTCTTCTCTTCCACCTTGTACCTCATCGTCGGGGGGAGATGTAATGTTTGTTGATGAGCTCTGTCAAGAGCACTATTAAGACTGATGTTCATTCCTGTAAGGCTGTTCTTAATGCCATCACTCCATCTTTTCCACGGCCACCCTACATATAATGTTAGAGTCTCATTCACCAGTTTTTACTCTACGAGTGAGGTGGTCAGGGTCATGTTGGCTGCATTTACTTCACAAAGCTTTCCCTGATACTTATTTTTGGCTGGGTCAACCTGGGAGTGAAAGTTATTTTAAAAAGAATCTGACTTGATGCCCATTTGAACCCAAAACCTCTCCGACAGGGGAGGGTCTAGTCACTGCACCAGGGATGTTCAACTAAGATTGCTCAGGGAGCAAAGTGTTATGAAATGAAGTAATCAGTTTGCTGACACATCTTGAAGAATTGTGGGCTATCCTCCGAATAACGCACTTCCGGGGACTATAATGCCACCCCCGAATCGCGAACTTCCGGCGACTTCCGCCATCGCCGAGAGTATCCCCCACGCCGCTCACTCGGCGTGGATTGAGGCTAAACTAGATGGCTAGGACTCACAGGCAAATAAATAAAATGAAGGAAGCTGCAGGAGATGCGGTAGCTGCTGCTCCTGAGTCCCAGCCATCTAGTTTAGCCCCAATGCACTCCGCGTGAGCGGCGTGGGGGGATAATCTCGGTGGTGGTGGAAGTCACTGGAAGTGCGCAATTTAAGACGACGGAAGCACACAATTGACACGTGACTGAGGCCCTGTTAGGGTATATTTTCCGCCTCGATAATTTAGGACCGTTATTCGGAGGATAGCCGAATTTTGATACCTATATTAAGAGGCTAGTTATCCCTGTAGAAGTATATGTTAGTGGTTTGGTTAGGGATGACTGGGGTTAAAAAAAAAACCTGAGCTTAGTCTCATCTGATCCTGATCTTCTTGTACCTGGTGGTGTCCAGGTCATGAGCTTAGTAGTACATCCAAACCAAGTAGGTTAGACAGTCCCTGTGCTGTTACTGAAATATCTCAGCACTGTCACAGGCTACTGACTTAAAAACAGGTTTCATGACACATTTATAAATGTTGCACTGTGAGGGTATAGGCCATTTTATGTCTGTTCTGTTTCATGTTTCTTTTTTTCTTTATCTTTTTCTTTTATCTCTTTCTCTTTCATAATTTTTTTTTTTTCCGTTTGTTGTGCTTTACTTCATTCTTGTTTTTTTTTCTTTCTTCTTCATCCTGGTTTTCCTCCATATTTTTGTCTGGGTTCAGTACCAGTTCTGTTTGCAAGACCAGTACACAGTATACTCACCAGTAAACTGAATAATTTGCTACAAATTGTGTGGAAAACAAATATTTCATGGAAGATAAACGGCCGCTCCCACCGAATATTGCTATGAATCTAAAACAGGCATGTCAGACGATGGGCTGCATGTCGGCCTTTGAAAGCACACCTACGGCCTGCATTAACATATTCTGCAGTAAATATTTCCTAATTGAAATTAGTTAAGTTATCATGTGTGACCCTCATGACAACACAGATGTGACCCATATAGCCCTTGAAGACCATCAGTTTCTTGTTCTTCTTCTTCACATGCACCAGCTGTAAACTCTGGTGGAAAGTTCTGGTTGTATGTCCACCTCTGGACTTCGGTCTTCTTCCGGAATCTGAGTGTTGAATGCACATCTGTTTCAGACATCTGACTTATTTGTGTGCAGACTGTTGGATCCTCGCCTCTCGGGCAGATGTATTTCTGGCTGCAAAAGAGAAAGCCCTAATTAGTCACCTTGTAGGACATGCTTGTTAGGGGAGCACTGGTTCTGTCCCTTCCCCACCCCCCAAGATGGGGCCCTGGAACCCACATGGGGATTAAGTGAATATAATGGTTTAAGATACCGTGCCCATTGGTTTTATCTCCTGTTACTTGTATTTTGTTGTAACCCAGCATATCAGTTCAACCCATTCATGCTTTTTTATCTTCTTTTATCTGTCCACTGTATTCAAAGTGTTGTTGAATATGATCCATTCTTATTTTGCTTTTTGCTCCCACTTTCTGTTTCATATATGTGTTATTGATTTGTAACATTCCATGTGTTTTGTATGTTTATGCCATTAGAGAAAGAATTATTTACTGTATAAATTCTTTTTTCAAGTATCTAGATTAGTTGTTCCCAGTTTTATATTACCCAGGTAACATTGACACACTTTTAGAAAGTAACCTCTGACTCACTTGTCTTGTCTTGTCTTGTCTTGTCCACAATTGCCTCACAGCGTAGTGGGGAGTCGCAGTTTTCTATCCTGGGCCAGGTGTGTTGCATGTGTTGTTGTTAGTCCGTGTTGCCTCAGGATCTCTGATATATTGTCTATCCATCGTACTCTCGGTCTGCCTCTTGCTCTAGGGCAGTAGTGTTGTTCGTTGTATGCTCGTAGAGGCAGTTGGTCGGTTTGCATTCGCATCAAGTGGCCAAACCACTCGATTTGTTGCTTCTTTATGTATTGCAGGCATGGTGTGGTTCCTACAATTGATCTAATGTTCTCGTTCCGAACTCTGTCTCTCCTTGTGACATTGGCAGCCTTACGTAAGCATCTCATTTCGCACGTCGTGATCTTTTTCTCCTGTGCTCTTGTTAGGGACCAGGTTTGGCATTGGTAGCAGAGGGTTGGTATAAATATGCAATTTATCAGTTGTCGTTTTAGTGCCATAGTGATGCCTGGGTGTTTTAGCAGTGGGGAGAGTTGGTAAGTTACTGCGTTCGCCTTTTGACATCTTGCCTCAAGTTCCCTATCAATTCTTCCATCATCTGTGAAGATGCTCCCCAAGTATTTAAATTGCTGCACTTGTTTGAGTTGTTCGTTGTTAACTTGAATAGTTAATATATTAGGTGTTCTACTTATTTTCAGAATTTCTGTTTTGGTGATGCTGATCTTCATGTTATATTCGTTGCAGACTGTGTGTAGCGCATTTACGTGGATTTGAAGTTCTTTTTCGTTTTCATGAATTATGCTTTGGTCGTCTGCGAAAAGTATTTCGTTCAGTTGGGGATGTACTTCTTCAGGATCGGCGTGTATGTTTTCATTATAATGATCTCTTTCAACTAACTCTGTCTCATTGCTTGGTGTAGTTAACAGTTCGCTTATCATTACATGGTTTGCTGCTGTTGTTATTCTGTCCATGTATATATTGAATAGTAGTGGTGATAGTACACAACCCTGTCTTACTCCTGTTCTTAGTATAAATTCGTCTGTCACACCAACATTTGTTCTAACTACGCTTGAGCTTGTTTGGTACAGAGATCTGATGTTGTCTAGTAGCTGACCTTGTACTCCATAGTCGTTCAATATATTCCATAGTTTGTTCCTATCTACCCTGTCAAAGGCTTTTTCTTGGTCAATGAATGCTATATTGAGTTGTTGGTTATATTCTATTGCCTTTTCACTAAGTTGTCTTAGGGTGAAAAGGGCGTCTGTGCAACTTTTTCCTTTCCTAAATCCAAACTGAGCTTTACTCAGCTGTGTCTCTACAATATGTTTTGTTCTTGTCTCAAGTACTTTTGAATATAGCTTCCCTACGTGGCTCAATAAAGAAATTCCTCTGTATGTGTCACACTCTCTTTTGTTGCCCGTTTTTCCAAATTGGGACTATGATAGCCTTTTGCCAATCCCCCGGTGTTTTCCTTTCGTTCCATGCTACCGTGAATATTCTGACTCACTTTTATATATAAATAGTGACTCTGACACTCTTTTATATATGACTAGTGACTCTGACACACTTTTGTATTAGACAAGTAACTTTGACACACTTTCATATAAGACAAGTAACTTTGACACACTTTTATATAAGACAAGTAACTTTGACACACTTTTATATTAGACAAGTAACCTGTGGCCTGTTTTTATAGAATTATCCATTTTTATAATAAAAACATTTTTAACCCATAACCTTCCTTTTAATAGACTGGTACCTTTAACTCCTCTCATGTCTGCAGAAAAAGATATGATGTTATATCAAAAACAAATAATGTTTGTATAAAATTACACATGTAAGTTCCTTTTCAGGTGATACATTTGTAGCGTGGAGTTTAATTCCTCGTTATCACTTCATTAAAATTTTTTTAAATATCTGACGCAAGTGGAAGGATAATGAAAATTTGAAAATAAAGTAGACAAGTTTAGTAATTGAAACATAATTAAAATCATCATCATCAGTTCTCGTTATGCCTAGTGGCACATGAGGCTTCAGAGAGGACTTTCCATGCTTTCCTGTCCTGTGCAATCTTCAGTGCAGTTTTCCATGTCAAAGATGCCGCACTCAGGTCACTTTCCATCGTTCGTCTCCATGTTGTTTTTAGGCGCCCCTGTTTTCTCTTTCCCTCTGGTGTCCATGTGAGAGCTGTTTTGGCAGGTATATCAGAAGTCATTCTCATAACGTGGCCAAGCCATTTCCATCTTCTCTTGGTAATAATACTGTCTAAAGTTTCTTGGTTTGTGGCTTGAAGTAGTTTAGTGTTTGAGATTGTATCTGGCCAGAAAATGTTGATAATTATCTGGCCAGAAAATGTTGATAATTCTACGTAGACATGTGTGGTGAAAGGGTAATTAAAATAATGTACATTTAAAATATATTTTAAAACTGATTGTAATATTTAATTAATTGAATTGAATTTTCCTTCACTTTCTTTCATTTATTAGAAATCCTTTTTCGGTATAGAGGGCTGAGTGGTCTTCAGTATGGTGTCCGCCTTGAGTACTGGTGGTCCCAGGGTTCAAGCCCCGGCGAAGGCTGGATTTTTTCATGTGGTCTTCTTGTAATTTCCCCTAGTCTGTGGGTGGTAAGATTGGCCTGTGTGTATTCTTGCGCACGTAAAAAATCCCTTGACAGTTGGAAATCGAAAAGAGTAGACTAATGGCGCTGCCCAGGCAAAATTTGGAGTTTAAAATCTACCCAAAATATTTCAGGATCCTTGCCGGTGTAGCGGAGTTCGTGCACTGTGCTAAGATACTTCAGACACAGGCTTGATTTTGAAGTAGAACAGGGCACTTACGGGTTACACCCATGTGCCATGATGTTGATTTGTCGAATAAACATAAACCTATTTCACAGTCTGAAATATGAAACAAATATTCAGAAATTTTAATAAATTTCAGAACATTTTAATAAATTTCAGAACATTTTAATAAATTTCAGAACATTTTTATAAATTTCAGAACATTTTAATAAATTTCAGAACATTTTAATTAATTTTAGAACATTTTAATAAATTTCAGAACATTTTAATAAATTTCAGAACATTTTAATTAATGTTAGAACATTTTAATTAATTTCAGAACATTTTAATAAATTTCAGAACATTTGAATTAATTTCAGAACATTTTAATAAATTTCAGAACATTTGAATTAATTTCAGAACATTTTAATAAATTTCAGAACGTTTTAATAAATTTCAGAACATTTTAATTAATTTCAGAACATTTTAATTAATTTCAAAACATTTCAATAAATTTCAGAACATTTTAATAAGTTTCAGAACATTTTAATAAATTTCAGAACATTCTTGAGTTTTAGGAAGGGAGGGTGTGGAACCCACGGAATGATAACACCTGAACTAGATCAGTGTCAGTGATTCTCAATTAGATAAGACCCGTGGACCTCTTTTGTTTTCAATGGTCTGCCACAGGCCATATACTATTTAATAGTCTTGTTTTAACAAGAGTAAATCCATCTTGGGAGCTGCCGTGGTGTGATGGCTAGAGGCTTCCCTGTGGATTAGAAGGTCATTGCAGACCTTGACCTCTCTTGTCTTCGATGGTCTGCCACAGGCCATATACTATCTAATAATCTTTTTGGCTATACTCCTAATAACGGTCCTAAATTATCGAGGCGGAAAATATACCCTTACACTGCCCCAGTCACGTGTCAGTTGCGCACTTTCGGGGACTATAAAGCCACCATCGAATTGTGAACTTCCGGCAACTTCCGTCACCGCCGAGAGTATCCCCCATGCCGCTCACGCGATTTAAGACGACGGAAGTGCACAATAGACACATGACTGAAGCCCTGTTATGGAATATTTTCTGCCTCAATAATGTAGGACTGTTATTTGGAGGATAGCCGTCTTTTTTTAACGAGAGTAAATCTGTCTTGGGAGCTGTGGTGGTGTGATGTCTAGATGCTCCCCTGTGGATTAGACAGTCATGGATCCAGGTCCTGGCAGACCTGGACTTTTAAAAGAAATGCCCTTGGCTTTCAGGTCGACCTAGCCTTGGGTGGGTACCAGGTAGAGTCCTGGGAAGTAAAGGTGGCTGACATGATGTTGAGCAATCACCCACCGAGTGCCGATTGGTCTGTAAAATATATATAACTTTAAAATTCACCTTAGACTTTTTTTTTTCTTCAAAAATGTTGAAAACACAAGAGCTGAGATATTTTTTTCTTTTACAAAAACAAACAAATTTGGGGGTGTGTTTAAAAAACAATAATTATATAACTGATCTCTTAAATTTAGGGTCCGCTGATGACCAGTTGGGAACTGCTGACCTAGATAAATGTTTAAATTAACCCTTTGTTGTCTGTATATGTTTGCAAGTGCCTATTCATTGCTTAAGTGTTTTGTTGCCATGTTGTGATCTCTGCTGTGATATTTGTAATATGTGTATATCTGTTGTATGTAATCTGGCATATCTGCTTTGTAAGGAAAAACTCTGTACAAAGGTTGGATTGGCCAGTGTCTTCACACTTTTTCCCATGCGGGTTCCAGAGTCCCTTTGGGTGGGTGTGTGTGTGGGGGGGAGGGGAACAAAATAGACCCACTACCTCCTAACAAGCATGTTGTAGATGGGGACTAATAAAGATTTTGCTGAAATGGGATGGCTGGGTCAAAAGGTTCTGACATTGTAGCCTAGATATAGACCATAATACAACATGCCTTATGCCCTAATAAGTCAGTTTCCCGCTCATTGTTACTGCCCTTATAGGTGTATGACTCCATATCTTGGAGGGGGGGATACCATTGAGTGAAATTCGATTACTGTTTTTCACAGGCATTATGTCCATTTTTAAATTAATATTAATTTACTCCAGTAAAATAATAGACGAGCAGCCGGACGATTGGTTAGAACATTAAGCTGTCGTGTGGAAGACCCAGGTTCGAATATAAGGTGAAGGGAGTTTCTTAACCTGCACAGTTCAAGGCACCAGCCATGTGACCTTCAATCCTCTGACCCAATACCACCTAATAATAGCAGTACAATATACAGTGAAGACAGTACGTGAATAAAGGATCCTTTCTTATGCTTTGAAGTGCACCAGTGCTTAGATGATGGGCGCTTGTTCAAGGAATTTTTTTCTTCTTCTTCCTGTCCTCTTTTACCACTTCAGGTGTTGAGGAAAATATCAGGTTCTACGTCTTGTTCTTCTGGCTGCCTTGACCATAGACAAGCTGTTGTAGAGTTTCTCTGATGTTATCTTTCCGTCTTGTTTTGGGTCTGCCTTGTGCTCTACATCCTACTTCTCTTTTGGTGTAAGCCTTGTATGCAGGGTGTCATGTTATCTCTAAGTGGGCAAACCGTTTGATTAGTCTTTGTGTGTAATTTAGTATTGGTTCTGCACCAATTCTGTGGCTTAGGTGTTGCGAACACACTTTGTAATGCCGGGGTGCCAGTTTCGATCTTAGCTGCGGATGGTTTGTCTTGTGTTGGTTTTGACAGAGGTACAGAGAGCTGACCATTCATAAAGCAGTGGCAAACTACTGAACGTAAAATTTGCCTAGAAAAACCACAACAGTAAAAAAATGCTGGGGCTGGTTCTGCAATGTCCTGTAAAGGATATGCAAATAACTTTAACCCTGCACCGATGCTTTCTTTTATGACCTCATTTATAATTTTATTTGTTTCTTGTCCCCCCTACAGCCCTTCTCAGATTTCTAATTTTCTACTTTATTCATATTTTGAGGATGAGGATTGAATATATGGTGCTGTCCCCAATTTGAATAGAGTTATCTCCACTCGATGGATGATAAGTTTTGTATCACATTTGCCACCTTTACCTCCCAAGGCATCGCCTGCAACCAATTTTTAAGAATATTTTGCTTTCTACAGATGTTGCATTCCTTTGATAAATCTCCTTTGTATCCCTTTGATAAATTTCCCTCATGCTCCTTTGATAAATCTCCCTGGGCACCCTCTGATAAATCTCCCTTCCTTGTTTATAATTTCAGTTAATTATGGTGTACAAAGTTCAAGGTCTGGATCCCGACTGGCTGATGGCAGAGAGAGGATCACAACGAGGCAAGGTTCCGGTCACATACCTGAAAGTCTTGGAATGAGTTTTGTTTGCAGTGTCCGCAGGATGTCGTCAGTGTCTTCAGATGCCTACAAACAAATACCATTGCTAGTTCAGGAGTGTGATTGTCTGTGTGTGTCTTTTGTCTTCTAGTTCATCTTATATTTATTTATCTATTTTTTTTAATTATTTTTTTTTTATGGAATTTATTTTATTGTGGAGGTATAAATATGCATTGTGTCACAGTATTAAATATGATATTGATTTGAATATTGACAGAGAAGTCAGTTACCGTAAATTGTGACATATAAGTCAAGTTTTTCAAGCCTTAAAAAGGTCTTTAAAATACTGAGGGTTGACTTACAAGGCAGCTATAAAATGTATTAGGTGGGTATAAGCCTATCTCGAAAGTTTTGAGCTAAAGATCTTGAGTTTGACTTGTACGCCGGGTCGACTTGTACGCCAGGTCGACTTGTAAGCCAGATTGACTTGTACGCCAGGCCGACTTGAATGATAGGCCGACTTGTACGCCAGGTTGACTTGTACGCCTGATCGACTTGTATGCCATAATTTACAGTAAGTTTTATTAACTCTTTAGATACCAAGCAGATGCTACATTCAGTTTGTATACTCAAAGAAGTCGCTACTTCTTTTATTTCACTTCCAGATTTCACAGCATTTATTCTTCTTATCTTGCGCTGACCTTCAAATTGGTGGTCGTCACATTGTGTGTGGTTTACAGCTAGGCTGTGACATCTAGGCCTTTCAGCCGAACATATCCAGTTTCCTCAGTTAGTCACCTTTTATGGCAAGCTGGCTATAGAACACTGGGGCTATCCCCCCCCCCCCCCAAAAAAAAAACAGCAGTGAGGCTTCCCCCCCCCCCCCCCCCCTCTTTTCCCCAGTGTGACCCCAGAGCCCACATAGAGATTAAGGAGGTACATAAAAATGAGAGTGGCCAATAAGAAAAATGTGTTTGTGTGCTGCATACAAAGAGACAGCTTACTTTGTATTACATTTTGTGTGCTGCTTTCAAAGAGACAGCTTACTTTGTATTACATTTTGTGTGCTGCATACAAAGAGACAGCTTACTTTGTATTACATTTTAAAGTACTTAGCCATATTTTGTGAATGTGCTCAGACTAAATGTAAAGAATTTTTCTCGTTCTTTTTTCTTCTTCTACTTCTGTTTTCACTCTTTAAAGGGCACTTAAAAGATATTGCTCTGGTTTACAACTAGGTTTCTGTATCTACACCTATCTGCCCTAAATTTTTGTTGTTAGCAAATCCTTAGTTAGTGGCCAGTGATGTGCTTTTGAGGGATATTGGGTCTGTTCGGCACCATAAAATGAGATATTGAAACCCACATGGGGAAATTTAAACAAGGCTGTAGTATCTGCACCGTTCAGAACAACACATCCAGTTTCAGCAAACAGTTAATAAGTCACTTTTAACGACATGCTTGCTAAGGGGTCAGTGGTTCGATTCATTTATTTCCCCAGGATGAACCTCTATACAGGGAAAATATCAGGATATAATAACTAGATGCTGTACATTTGCTTGATACATGCAGTAATAGCTTATCATACATTTTCAGTTTACACTTGTATGAAAAAAAAAGATTTCAGACCACATGAAAAGTAGAACCGTGTCAGTTTGACATTATCAGAAACACAAAGGACAATTGAGCGTGGCGGCTAGAGAGCCTTCATCAGCACATTACAGGAATATATACAGTGCCACTAACAAAACTACACAGAATCACTTAACAGAAGTGTCTCTGAGAGGAATCACATATCTCTCTCTGGCCAGTTGAATCTCTGGCATGAGTGTGACCACTGGAAATGAATACTAGCCAGAAAAAAGATGTGAATGTCAAGGGCCTTAACTCAGAAATATTAGATAAAACTGTTGGATGTTAAGTCCCCTAGACTAATTAGAGCCCATTAGGGAAAATGTATCTTATCCTGTAAGCAAACAGTGTTCCCTCGGCTCTGGGACATTACAGTTATGGGACAGGAAGAAATTAAACAAGAACTGGAACAGAGTATGTGAGAGTAACAACTAGATGTATCAAATGCAGTTCACAAGAGTATACAGTGACAGTTAAAATCAGAAAACTCACTGTGGGTTTTGTTTGCCACTGAATGAATTAATAGAAAGCAGAAATGCAAGTGTTAATACTTATAAATGATTGTATTACTTATAAATGTTTTGTATGAAATGTATTTGGCCTTTGCTGGTTTTATTCACGTTGATTCAGCTCAACATTGCATGCAATTAGTTTCTGTTGTCTGCACTATGTTGATTAATTTATGCCACAATTGATTTATCCTTTAACTATAAACTTGTTGTTAAGCTTGTCTATGTCAGTTGACATGTGCATAATGGGAAATGAGTAGGTTAAAATACACCCCCCCCCCCCCCCCCCCCCCCATGGGTTTCCGGCGCTTTATTGTAAGGAAAACAACGATACACCCACTGCCTCCCCAACCAGCATATTGTAAGAGTCGACTGATTGTGGGTTTCCTTTGAAGTCGGAGTGCTTCTGCCTGGGGGGCAGGGAACCAACAGTCTGCATACAAATACGACAGATCTGTAGAACAGATGGACAGACAGCACTCAGGTTCTGGAATGAGTCTAAAGTCCAGAGGTGAATGAATAACCAGAACTTTCTGCCGGAGTTTGCAGCCGGTGATCACGAAGAAGAATTAAAGTACACACTAGACAACACAGATATTTAAAGCTTTAAGCAGAACAAGAATTATAACCCCATTGAAGGTGTCAGAAATGTATTCAGTAATGAACATCTGTAATTGATTATCCCAAATTAAATTATGACCTCATTGGTTAATTTGTCTGTGTCAGTTAAGACATGCATAACAGGAAATGGGTAGATTAAAATACACACTAGATAATAAAGATATAAGTAGGCCAATAAGATATACCCCTTTACAGGTGTCAGTTCTGAATTGTATTGTTTTGTAATGATTGTTTGTTTAAAATTAATAATAGATTAATAAATTTGCCTTTGTCACTTGACACATACCTAGCAGAAGATGTGTAGGTTAAAATACTAGACAGCAAAGATATATACAAGCTACACACACACACGTCGGCTCTGTGGCTAAGTCAATGCAAAAGCTTCGTAATGCCGGGATGCCGGGTTCGATCCCAGCTGCGGGCCATGCACCTTACATTGGTTTCGACAGTGGTATCAAGAAAGCTGACCGTCCAGAAAGCAATGGCAAACTACTGGACGTAAATTTGCCTAAAAACCACACAACAGCCAGGGGCTGTTGGGGTTGGTTCTGCAACGTCCTGTAAAGGATATGCAACTAATACACACACACACACACACACAGATACACACTCACACACAATGTATTAGGCTCATTTTAAAGGTGTCCGTTTTGTATTGTATTGTTTAGCAATTTATTGTGTACCTGATTGATCTTATAAAGTGAGTAAGTAAATGACTCTATCTATGCCATTGGTGTAATTGCCCTGTTTTTCATAGACCAATCGGCCCTCATCAGGTGATGTGGTCAATATCATGCCAGCCACCTGCACAGTCGTTGCAACAGCACTAGCCATGCGGCCTTAAATCCTCGGGCTCCAAGACCCCCCCGCCTACACCGCAGAAGTGGTATATCTTCTCTTCTTCTTCTTCTTCACTTCCTCTTTTACCGCTGTGGGTGTCAAGGGAGATATAAGGTTCTGTTTCTAGCTCTTCTGGCCACCTCGACCATAGGCACATCGTGCTGTTGTAGAGTTTCTCTGATGTTATCCTTCCATATTGTTCTTGGTCTACCTCGTGCTCTACGTCCTTCTTCTATTTCCATGTATGCTTTGTATGGTATGGTGTCACAAGGCATTCTCTCTAAGTGGGCAAACCATTTCACTTGCTGTCTTCGTATGTAATCCAGAATTGGTTCTGTGCCGACTTTTTCTCTTATGATCTCATTCCTGATCTTATCTCTTATGGTCACTCCTACAGCCCTTCTCAGACATCTCATTTTCGTGGTTACTAATTTTCTTTTATGGTTTGTTGTGAGTGACCATGTCTGGCACTGGTAGCACAGAGTTGGAATAAATATGCTTTGAATTAGATGTCTCTTTGTGCTGATTTTGATTGTCTTATGCTGTAAGAGAGGAGCTAGCTGTCCCAATACTTGGTTTGCTTTACTGCATCTAATGTCAATTTCTTTATCCAATTTCCCATCTTCGGTAAATGTAGTTCCCAGATATTTAAACTCAGATGCCTGTTTAATGCCTTTGCACTCTATTGCTATGTTTAGATCTGTCTTCTTTTTTCCTATTGACATTACTTCTGTCTTTTCAGTGTTGATTCTCATATTATTTGTTTTACATTCTTCATTCATTGATGTTAGATGTTGTTGCAATTTCATGGCTGTATCTGCTATCAAGGCCTGGTCATCTGCAAAGAGTAATTCGTTGATCTTACTAACATTTTCATTCATGGGCTTGGCATTCTTGTATATACTGTCGATGAAGGTGATAAACAGCAGTGGTGATAAGACACACCCCCTGTCTTACTCCAGATGTTACTGTGAATGGATGAGATGTTCCCTGATTTATTCTAACTACACTTCTACAATCCCTGTATAAACTTTTGCACACTTCGATATCTTGCCATTACTTTCCATAATAATTGTCTGTCGACTCTGTCAAATGCCTTCTCCTGGTCTACGAATGCCACAAATAAGTTATTGTATTCAATGTTCTTTTCTATTAACTGTTTAAGTGTGAAGATTGCATCTGTGCAGAAATGGTATTTAAAGGCAGTAATTGGCAGGTTTTTTTTTGGGTGTGTTGTCAACTTACAGTAAGCCAAAGCAACATATAGGAGTTCCTGCTGGAAATAGGTCAAACAAAGTGTTACTTTTTATGCAAAAAGACATCATTATGTGGACAGATTTCCCTTTGTGGGGAAAACAAGAATAGACTCACTGCCTCCCCAACAAGCATGTCCTAGGAGTCGACGAATTTGTGGCTTCCTTAGAAGTTAGAGTGCATCTG